GCCTTGGCTTCCTTCTCTATTTGGTATTGTGAGATCACAGCTGCTCCGCGCTCCTTTTTTTTTTTTTTCCTACCTTTTCTTTGCGTCACCGGTTCATTCATGAGTTGGTTTTGCAATTCGCGGGCATACGCTTCATCGTCCTTGATCTGCTGATCGTGATTTTGACCCTCGCCTTCGTCGTCAGAGGGAGCCTCCAGCTTACCGGTGTCCAGGTACCGTTCGATGCGGCGGATATGATTTTCCTTGACGCCGAGGCTCTTGAATTGCTTGTAGGTCAGGCGGTCCAAGTCCGAGTCGTCCAGACGGTCGCCTTGGAAGGCTGAGCTGTAGATCAAGGCTTGCTGCATGGGGATGCCCACCTTCATGAACCAATCAAACCAGTCCCAGCTGGGATTGGGTTTCTTTCGATTGCTGCTGTGGCTGGCGCTTGTGCTGGGAGGGTTGTCAGAGAAGGCAGACAGCGGGCCGGCGGGACGGGTAGGCATCTCGGGCGTCTTTTCTTGAGGCTTGTCGACGCGCTTCTTACCCGACAAGGTGCCAAGGGCCATGTTGTTGTGACGTTCCACCCAGCGCACGTCTTCATCCGACATCTTTTCAATGGGCACGTCGATTTTGACCCCATTTGACTTGTGCAACCGTAGCTTGCCATCCGAAAACGCAAGATATTGAGCATCCACCCGGAAGGAGGCACTACGATCTGTCCAGGTTCGCAGCCGGTCAGGATCTGGCTCTACAAAATAAAAAGGTGGTCAGACTTCGATGTGTCCTATAATCATTACACGCATCCTTTTACTTGGTAAATCGTCACGTTCATTCTTGGCCTGTTCCTGACGTTGTCAAAAAAAAAAAAAAAAGATGTCAGGTTGCAAGATTTTCTTTTTTTTTCCTCTTTTTTTTTCCTCTTTTTTTTTTCCTCTCTATCATAGAATTTACCCGTTCTCTTCGACGACGCTCTTCATCCATACGGCGCTGACGTTCGAGTTCTTGGCGCTGGGCAGCTTCCTGGGCCTTGCGGCGGCGATCACGTTCACGGTCTTCTTCTTCGCGTCGGCGGTCTTCGTCTTCCTTGCGGCGTTGCATTTCCTTGCGCTCGTTCTCGGCAATCTGGCGCTCAAGCTCCTTGTGCTCACGGTACTCGGGGTCGTCACGGTACTGAAAGTAATGTTCAACTTCGTCATGGGCTTCGGTGTAAACAACGTCGCCATCAGCATCAATCGTCACGGATGGGCGGGGAGGCAAGCTCGGCTGAGGCACGTCCCTTGCAGGCTCGCTATCATCGTCTGTGAATTGAATATAGTCTTTGGGAATGATGCCATGGTTATAGTCGACCATGCTTTGAATATGCCACCAGCCATCGTCGCGGCGGTAGTTGGTGACCAGGATCTCCTCGTTTTCCTTGACGGACAGCTCTTCACCGCCTTCGGCTTGGAAGTCAAACAGCGCAATGGCTGGGCGAGGGTGCATCAGTGGCGGGGAAGGCGAGCGATCGGCAGCGGCTACGGCGGCAGCAGAGGGGCGACCATTCGTGGGAGGAGGTAGGGTAGCAGAGGGCGGAGCGATGCGAGCGTTGGACTGGCTGGTGCTCTTGACATGCGTGCCGGCTCGTTGGGCAAGCTGGCGCGACTCGGATATCTTGTTGATGATCGCTTTCGCTTCGGATTTCGACGAGGCTTGAAGATCCAGGACGGCTGATTGAGCCCCATTGATCTCAATATGCAGCACCTTGCTGTCCATCAGGTACTTGTCGACGTCCAAAATCTCATACTGTTGCACAGGTGAGGCTTTGTCGGTTTCGCTGCCAAAGCAGAGCAAGCCATTACCAACCAGCAAGTTGCCTTTGCTTTTCTTCTTCTTCTTCTTGGCCACATCATACACATTAACTGTCCATGACTGCGCCTCGTCATCCACATCCAAGACCTTGGGCTAGTATAAAAAAAAGAGGGTGTGAATTATTATTTTTTTTTCCCACTTGCAAGCTCGCCAAAGAAACATACCGAAGAAACAGGTGTGCCTCGGGTAGGCGTGCTGGGTGAGGCGGTGGCCAGCGTCGGCTGCACAGTAGGCTGAGGAGGAGTGATGGTGACAGGTGCTGGAGGAGGAGTTGGATCCACGGCAGGAGCTGCTGGTGCTGGGGCATCCTCGTCGATGTCTTGTACATAGTTTGAGGGCACTAAACCCAAGTCGCCAGTGTCTAGCTTGACCAAAAACCAGTCGGGATCATCTCGTTCGTACACCCACATTTCTTGACCTTCGATAATAGACAATTCCTCTTCTTGCTGGGCATCATAATCGAATTCAGCTCGTACCATGCCAACAGGTGTCACCTATTTAAAAAAAAAAAACGAGGTCAGTGCTCCATGCCAAGAGGTTGAGTGTGTTGACTCGTGTGTTTTTTTTCCTTGGCAATGGCGCTGCATTCTTACCTCTTCTACATAACTGGCAGGCACAAGACCCACAGGCCCAGGCTCATCACCCTGTTTCAATTCACCTTTCCACCATTCGTCGTCTTCTTTCTCGACAATGTAGATAATGTCGTTTTCTTGGATTGAAATTTCATCTGGAGTTCTTGCTTCATAATCATACAGCGCTTGGCACACTTCCAAATACTTCATGTTGTTAACAAGAGTCGTGTGGGAGTAATTTATCTATCAACACCTAAAGGATGGGGAGGGGGGGGCAAGGGGGAAAGCGAAGCTACACTAAAAAAAAAAAAGGGAAAAAGAGAAAATATTAGCCGGTCATTCGTTGGAGCTTCTTGCGCAGTGGTTTCCTTTTTGGGCATCCCGTTGGCGTGCACATTGGTAGAAAATAGGCATTCGCAACGAAACAAGCAAAGCCAATTTAATGAACAATGGAACAAAATAGCTTGTATATAAGCCGTCTTTTGTTGTAAGTTGAAAAAGAAATTTGCCGACGCCTCTACTGCGCAAAGCTTTTAGCCTGCCCATACGCTGGGTAAACCTTTTTTTTTATTGCCGCACTGCCCAGCAACTGCCCAATATTCAATGTATTGTCGTCTTCGCCGTTAGCTACTTCTACCTCCTTTTCTTCTTCACATTCCTGACACCCCTCTTCATCGTGATCATCTCTAAAGCCTTGGCTGCGTGCATTGACGAGGCCGAGGATGACAGACTTGAGCCCATCAACGGCTGGCACCCACCCCATTTATTCAAATTCACAGCTCCCGAGTCCCGACCGCCTCGTAGATAGTCAAGTCGATGGCTTCTGTAACTCAGGTATTGTACGAATGAACTATGCCCATGACCTCGAAAGTCGAGTGGATTTCTATCGTTTGGTGCCAAAAAAAAAAAAAAATTCAAATTTCACACGCTAGCCAATGTATCACTTTCAAAGAAGTCTGTGCTTGCTGAGGCTGTAGAACTTCACCTATTCTTTCCATTCCCTGTGCACAGGCATCGTCATTCAAACGATGCCGTCTCGCATAAGCGCATTCATTGGGTATTTTTGAAAAGAAAGATAAGAAAGAGACCACCTCCCCTTTTTTTTACAGCTGTTTTTGGACCCCATTGTCCGCGGAGATTGAATTACGACGGGAGGTTTCGTTTTTTTTTTTTTTTTGGTCGAAACAAAGCACACAAGAAGTTAGCTGGGTGCCATCGATCGATCGGCCTGGTTCTTTCAGGATCATCAATCAAATGTTGTAAAATTCTAGATCAATCCGATCGCGCAGGCCAGCCCTATTTTTTTTTTTTATTGACAGCCATCTTTTCGCCAGGGGAGCTCCAGGGTATCTGATCAAAACCCACAGCGCAAAATTGTGCCAAAGTCAGTTTACCCTAATTTTGCATACAGTACCAAATGATGAGAAATGTCTATGATAAAATTACAGCTCTCTCAGACAGAGGAGGGAAGCGTTAGAAGGTTGATCACCAATATGTATGCGTGCATCAACAGGAATCCGAGGGTGAGTGCGGAGACTGAATACGGCAGTTCCAAGTTCTTATTTCTTGAAAAAAAAAAGCAACATTGCACAGCGCTTTTGAGCTATTGGATCGATATGAAAATTTGCACAACTGCGCATATGCATGAATGATGTTGGCACTGAAAAAATCAGACAGATCGGCGGAGGTTGCCCAGCCAAATTTTGAGCAGTTTCATTTTGGCAAACACAAACCTCTGGGTCTTTGTGGCAAAGAGCTACAGCCACCCAAAACATGCTCTGCCAAGCGCCTGCCAAATTTGGCAAGCGGTTTTTTTTTTTTTTTTTTTTTCAAAAATGAAAAAAAGGGCGCGTCTCCACAGCATCCACAGCACCTTTGTATTAACAGATCAGCGTGCTAAGTTCTATGAGTGCGGTAAATCATGAGGGGGGAATGTGCAGAAAAAAAACCAGGTCGATTGGTGAAGGTTAGCTGGCCAATTTGCATTGCTTTTTGGAAAAAATGACATGGATATACCCAGACTCTATTCGTATCTTCTGAATTATCGGCTGCCTTTTTTTTCACCTTTGAAGCTTCACGACCCTGGTGGCAGTTGATGGTGTCCTCAATGGTGGCTCTGGCACCGTCCTAATTTTCACTACGCATGAACTGCCCAGATACCAAGCCAACCGAAAAGCCCTCTTTTTGGAAACAGAAAAAAGCTACGTCCATTTCACCAGTGATAAGGTTTCATCAGAGCCGAAGGATTTACGGTAGCCCTTGATCGGTTTGAGCTTTCTTATGCCTCCTATGACCAGACCAAACCTCGGGTCGTTTTCTCATTTCCTCTGCCCTGTCAGTTGGAAGTCGTATTTTTTTTCAAACAATTGAATACATGCAACCACCTACATCAATACACAATATCTATTCTAATTTCCAGTTAGACCTTGCGCTCCAAAAAAAAAAAAAAACGACCGTCTTGATATTTACACTCCGCCTTTTGTTTATCATTTATTGGACAGGACGCACCGGTAAATGTTTCGGACCCGTCGGCGTTTTCGGCGGCCGAACCATAAAAGGAAATTTCGTAAGTGCTTCATATTAAGCAGACCTCGTGAAGCGAGGTTAATTTAATGGTAGAATAGTAGCCTTCCAAGCTGCCTGCACGGGTTCGATTCCCGTACCTCGCAGAGACTTTGTTTTTGCCCTTTTTGTCGATTTGGGTTTAGGGTTTAGGGTTTGTTGTTGCTATGGCAGATGTGTCACTTTTTGAAGTAGAGTCAAAGTGTAATGAATTGCTGTTTTTATTTTGCATAAAAATTATGGCCACTTATACGTTGTCCAAAGTTGCAAGGGGGGAGAATGCGCTGGCCGTCATCCGCCAAGTCGTAGACGCCAGTGCCCAGGTTGACTTGCCTCAAATGGAATATCCCTTGCCAATTTGGTTCCATGATGGCCAAGGTGGCGAAGATGTGTAAAATCAGACTAAAATAAACAAAGCCAGCAATTCTTTATTTTGGTTCCATTCACAACCACACCAGAACGTTGAGGTTGAAGGTGACTGAGCCAGCACTTCAATCATGAACAGGGATCCATGGTTGGACAGGATTTCACGAGGGCAACCAAATCGTAGCACGAGTTCTTCGTAGATATTGCCAGCAACAGCAGTGATATTCGGCAAGGGCATGCACAACGGCCAATTCGTAGTGTCATCGATAAGCGTCCAATGAAGTCAAAGTGCCAAATTATTGTTCTGGCAACGGGGTGGGTGGGCAAAAAAAAAAAAAAAAAAGGTCTCGACGGGGGTATCTATTTGAAAAGAAGAAAAGTTAGGTGGGATGGACACACATGGTTCTTCAATGTACCTTTGAGAGAGGTGGCGGTGTCGCGGAGGTGGGGACCGTGATTCACAGGCGCCGCATTTATCCTTAATCTTGGTCTTGATACTCTTTTAGCTTTCTTTGTAGGTGTGTATCGAGGTAGGCTTGGATATCTAAAAAGGAAAAGAGGGTTGGTTGAGCGAGGCACTACAAGTCGTTTTCCCTGGACCTTTTGGCGTCATTGAATCGTGAAGGACAAGGATGCCTTTGCAAAGGTGGTCAGGCAGAGGGTGCGTGTTGGCAGGAACGACAAGGGTCGGTAGTCTGCCCCACCACTGGTGAGGTGTGAGCTGCGGAAGCCATTGGGCAAGGTGGTTGGCCAGGCGCTGCTGGTCGATGGACGGATCGCACATCAGGAGCGGCTGCTCAAGGATCATCGCGGGTGTCCAGTGTGTTGGCTGACCGGCCCGACGCTGTTCCTGCTGATAGAGGGCAGTGGCGAATTCTTGATGGAGCGATCGTGGGTTGGTGTGTCGCTTCTGGTGATCAAGGGTTTGTTGTACGGCGGCCAGGTCCATGGCATTCACGGGTACGTGCAGTTGCTGGCACAAGATCAAGAAGTCATGCACTATTGGCCAGACATGTCGTGGGGAGGTGAACATGACGCTGGGATTCATGGATGAGGCGCCTTTGAGGTAAAACGAGAGCGACATAGGGGCATCAGGCCTCTTGGGGCTGGTGGATGGCTGTTCTGGACGAAGCACAGGCTGTAGGATCGTGTAGAGCTGCTGCAGGGCGGCGGCATTGTGTTGCTTCTTGATGGGCTCTTTTACAAAGAAATCAGGATGCACTTTCAGCACCACCTTTTTCAAGTATGGCTTGATCAATCGTGCGGCAGATGCTGGCATTGTTGATCATGAATAAGAAAAGTGGAAAGCTAGAAAATGAGTAAACGAGAGAAAAAATGAAAGGCTTTTTTTTTTTCTTTTCCCTCCTTAGGAAGCCAGCGCGACTGTCCTTTTTTTCTTTCTCTCTTTGTTTGACACCTGTTTTACTCATCAGTATCCATGGGCAACTATTATAAAATTGCATGTTATTTTCTCGTACGAATTGATCTGGTTCCTCAAAAGCCACCAGAAGTGACTCTGTTGAATTGGTAATCATAGTCAACAACGCATGGGAAAGAAGAGGGATGATTCACTTTTTGATATTTTTTTTTTGTTACCATAGCTTCAACAACAAAGAATTGGCCTACCAGACAGCATTATTGTCCCAGCTTCTCGAATTGACGAAACATGCGAACAATTGGTCATTGTCTGTCTTGGCTGCCAAGCGTGATAGCATCCTCAAGCACATTCGAAGTCTTCCAGAAGAAGCAAGTAGCGAAGAGAAGTATGATCACCTGTTCAGCAGAAAGAAGGGCTTGTTTGACGGCCTATGCAACCGTCTATTTGAAGTCCATTATCTCAACCCTGAGCTTGATGGTGACGACCATGCCGAGGTGAACGACGACTGTATCCAAGATGGCATGGACGCTATGTCTTACGACATCCAGAAAGAGAAGAAGCGGCTGACCAGCATTCTCGAGGACGAGGGTGTCGACCTAGAAGACAGCAATGGAGAGGATGACGATGAAGAGGAAGAGGAAGATGACCTGGACGACGACGACGACGATGATCTGGAAGATGATGCAGAAGAAGACCTTGGAGACGATGACGAGAACCCTATTGCGATCTCGGACGTCGAAAACGAAACGGAGGATGACTTTGAAAATCATGCCAAACGCCCTTTCCCTGTTGATGATGAAGAGGAAGACGAATTGGATGAACTCAATGACGAAGATGACGACCAGACCAGCAAAAGACGACGAGGTGAATAGCTGAGGCCGTCTCTTCACCTGATGTTACCCTTCTCCAGTCATAGCTTTTTTACAGATATCCCCTGTCACTTTTTTCTTTTCTACACATACACTCGTTTGTCTGGCTCATTTCTCATTTTGTTACTTGTTTGCATTGTTTTTTACTTGGTGTTTAACCCAGCACCTTTCTTATAAACCTCCCCTTTTTTTTTCTTCTTCTCTTTTTGTCTCTCCAGCAACGCTCAGCTCTATCACCAAAAAAAGGTCTCTTGCAATGCCCTTGTTTATTATTGGTATTCGCGTAGTTCAAAGTACGTACTGGCAAACAATGAGCAACGCACAGAGACGTTCCAGTCGATATGTTCCAGAAACCTCCGTTCAATCATGTTCCTGAAAGAATGAAAAAAAAAAAAAAAGTCAGAGCTGCTCCGTCGAGTCCCCGATTTTTTTACGAGCTTTACACTTGCTGGATGTCCAATTCAGGAAATATTTGCACAAAGTCCAAATTGTAGACTGCACAGTCGTCCCAGACCTTGACGCAGGTGATCAGACCAGCAAGTAAGATCAGGCGCCAGTTGACTTCACATAATTGTTGCTTTGTGTTTTCCAGCATCCGGTCAATGTAGATCATGGTGATAATCGCATGTTCAGACGTGAGCTAAAAAAATTGAAAGAGAATAAAAAACCCCCCCTGGTGTGTGAGCATAAAACGTGGAGATACATTTTTTTTTTTTTTTACCTCGCCCTTGTCAAAGACATAAGCCATTTGGTTAAAGACATCGCGCCATTCTGATGTGGGTTTGGCGCTAAAGAGTTTTTCATTGTAGTCACTTGGTTTGATATCAGGATAGGTCACATAGGCGGTATCGGAGGTAAACCGTTGGCTGCGATGATTTCTGCGCATGATATCATACAAACTCCAGGCCACACTTTGAAAAAAAAAATGAGACCTCGTCTCTTTTCTTGACATCAAGTTACCTTTTCAGGGTGATGGCAATGCGTTCACGGGGTTGCTGAAGGTCATGGAAAGATTGTTGCCAGTTCAAGGCAAAGGAAGCAGAGGAGAGAGAGCGGGTGGTATATTGGATTTGATCGTTGAGGTCTACACTACCGCGTTTGATGCCATGGCGCAAATAAGGCACGGACGGCTCGTGGTCAATGGCAGACTCTGTCTTGCTGGTGGTGACCAGGGCACGGTGCTTGTTGGCCAGGGACGACGGTGGGCTCCAAGGTGTTTTGAGATTGGCATCATCCACGGCATCAGCATGGTCGGGCCGTGGAATGTCGTACAGCCGGTCGCGGGGAAAGTTGAAGGGTGGGTCGTCTTGGTGGAGGCTGCTGGTGATGTGGGAGGGGAGGACGGACTGGAAGGAGGCGTAGCCGGCCGGGCCACGGCCGGGGTCGTCTGTGCGTGATTGCTGAGACTGGAGGTCGGGATGGGGCTTCTGTAGAAGTTGGTCATACCGGGAAAAGGCCGACAGGTACAGGTCCTTGTCGACCATGCTGGTCATGGGCCCAATGGAGTCATCGTCGGCCGAGTCGTCCGAGTCGTCTAGCTCGTCTTGCATGGCCATCTGAGAGTGGAGTGAGGGATCCTTGGCAAGCTCGACCAACTCAACCGGCAGGCTGCCTTTTTTCATTGTCAGTGAGTCAAGGTTGGCAGGGCTGGCCATGGAGATGGTGGCATCGGTTGCATCCGAGCGATAGGTGTGGCTGGTGGGGAGTTTGGCGATGGAGACAGTTGCGCGGGAGAGGTCGGGGGCGGTCATGTTGCGGACCGGTTGACGGTGGTCCAGGGCGGGCAAGGCTTTTTGCGACTGCATCCAGTGGCGCATCTTGGTGCCAAGTTTGGATAAAATAAACGAGATGTTGCGGCGGTACCGTTGCGGCTGCAGGGTGGAGGCGGTGTTGATGGTGGCGGCCGAGGAAGTGGAGGTGGAGGCGGACACATGGCCTGTCCAAACAGCCGGTTGGTGAGGGTAGTCATCGGAAATATTTTTTTTTTCGTCACTGCCCTGATCCTGAAGCATCGGGGCCACCGAAGAGGGCTTGCGTTTGGTGTTGAACGGAAACCATTGGCGGCTGTTGGCCTGACCCTTTTTGTAATGATCGTTCGAGACCGTGTGAGCTGGGGCTGGTGCGGGATGGAGGTGTGATGGAGGTGACGAGGATGAGGTGGAGTTGGAAGAGGGCGGCATGGGTGAAGGGTACATGGCGGCGATGCTCATGGCCGTTTTTGCTCTGGGTGGAGGAGGCAGGGCGTCCTGTTGGTGGGTCAGCAACCAGGTGTGGAAGAGTTGCTGACACAGAGGCACAGCTTCAGAAGGAACGGTGCTGGAAAGGGCCTGGTCTAGTTTAGGTAACGCTTCACGCAAAGGCTGGACCAAATTGTCGGGGATGGACGGGAGTGGATGACTATGGGTCCAAAGGGAATAGTCGCTTTCCCCATTTTTCGACTGCATCTTCCAGAAGAAGAAGGGAACAAAAAATATAGAATAAATAAAAACGAGGG